ACAGCTTTGCCGGATGCCCAACGTTTAGAGGCTTAGAATATTAGCCCTAAACCCTAAACCCAAAGCCTCAAACCCTAAAACCCTAGGGTTGGGGTTTAGGGAGCCCTGAAGACAACCAGCCTATCACTGCATGGGCGCCTTTAGCAAATCCGAGTAATCAATGAATCTGTGTGCCCTGTTCACCCTGCACCCTGAACCCTTGAACCCTGAACCCTGAAGATATATATCTAGGCCATACCCCCTCTTCTAATCCCTATGAAGGGCTGTTAGTATACTGGGGGAACATCCACAATTTGAAGTGTGTGTGCACATAGTTCCCAAGCCCGGTCTTCTCTACAAACCTCAAGCAACAGTCTAAAGCCTGAACCCCTGAACCCCTAAATCAGACACTGCCTGAGAATCCCAAAGCCCCCGAGCCTTTCATGCAGGGTTTAGGGTGTAGGGTTTAGGGTTCAGGTTTTCATACAGCTTCATGCGCCTCCTGCGGTAGGAGAGCCTTACAAAGCCCCCAACCTTACAGATCCTGCGCCGCTAGAAGGCATCCACCCTTGCCAAGCGTGCAAGAACACTCCTCAGCATGGGTGTTTCCGAAATTGCCGGGTACCTTATTCGGGTCACCCTAAACCCTAACCCCAAAACCCTAAACCCTAAACCCTAAACCCTAAACCCTAAACCCTAAACCCTAAACCCTATAAACCCTACACCCTGTTTTGGGGGTCCGTTTTAGCTTTCCCTTATTTTCGGAAACCCCAACATGGACAGCAAAAACAAGTGCGATGGCAGTCGGGGGTCTGAGCTTTGGGGTTCTATCTGGTCCTGCGCACGGCCTTACTTCGTGGGTTTAGGGTTGGGTTTTGGGTTTTGGGTTCAGGGTTTAGGGTTCAGGGTTTAGGGTTTAGGGTTTAGGGTTTAGGGTTTAGGGTTTAGGGTTTAGGGTTTTAGCGGTGCTTTGGAGCCTTCCAGGCTTCCGGCAAAGTTCAAGGACTTCATGTGGCTCGAGTCGTGGTTCAGGGGTCTACTAGCTCTTCATCCGCTCCTTGCTAAGCCAAGCTTCGCGTGGGCACAAGGCTTCGACGTCCGTAAGAATTATGGTTGGCATTCCGGTTTAGGGTTTAGGGTTTAGGGTTTAGGGTTCAGGGTTTAGGGTTTAGGGTTTAGGGTTTAGAGGCGAAGCAAAATTGTATGGTAAAGGCAGAAATTAGAGACCCTAAACGAGCTTAGAATCATGGATTGGTTTCTGTTGCCTCTGCGCTAACGCTTTACACCAGACCCACAGGGCCCTAAGTACCAAGATGGGCGGGAAACTTACCCAAACCACAATAGTAATTCCCATTATGAACCCTTAATTCCTAAACCCTAAACCCTGAGCCCTAAACCCTAAACCCTAAACCCTACTTTCTACTATGTAGGTACTTAGGACCCTTTGGGAGAAGAGCAAAGCAGCTCCGTTGTGCGGACTAAACCCCAGAGCTCGAACGCGGAGGGTTTAGGGTTTAGGGTTTAGGGTTAGGGTTTAGGGTTTAGGGTTTAGGGTTTAGGGTTTAGGGTTTAGGGTTTAGGGTTTAGGGTTTAGGGTTTAGGGTCTAGGGTCTAGGGTCTAGGGTCTAGGGTTTAGGGTTTAGGGTTTAGGGTTTAGGGTTTAGGGTTTAGGGTACGGAGATTGGCTCATCCCGGAACTTTTGAGAAGCATCACAAGCTAGAAATAGAGCCTTCGACAAAGGGTCCATGCAGCTTTTGTCGAGGCGAACCCTCAACTTGTGGGGTTCTTAAGGGGGAGGGTTTAGGGTTTAGGATTTAGGGTTTAGGGTTTAGGGCTTAGGGCTTGGGGTTTGGGGTTTGGGGTTTGGGGTTTAGGGTTTAGGGTTTGCGGGCTTCCGAACTTAGGGGTACCTTGTTGAGGCCCTTTGTTATGATAGCATCCTACTACTTGGGGGAACTACATTCGGGTCCCTTATTCTCGTAAACCCCCCAAAGTTCTAAGGTTGGGGCCGTTAGTTACCCTTGGTTAAAGGGGCTTAAATTGATCGGAAGTATGGGCCCTTAGTATGCATAGTGTAAATAAGGGCTATATAACAGGGGACCCAAGTTAAGGGCCCATACTTCCCCGCACAAGCGGGGTATGAAACCCCAGGTTCCCTCACATTCCCCCCCCCCCCCCGCCACTACCCTCGAAGGCTCCCGAAGCTTCCGTAAGGTTCCTTAGGCGTCTACCCCCCATGAAGCCCCCTCCCTTACGGACCCGATCATAACCCTGAACCCTAAACCCTAACTATGGGGCCTAAGTAGTGCTTCTGAACTGAGTGCCCTTTAACCCTAAACCCGACAAGCCCTACATGACCTGAATTGGAGCCCTAAACCCCAAAAGCCCGATAAACCCTTTAAGCTCTACAACCCTATAAGCCCGACTTAGACCACATTTTCGAACCCTAGATCCTAAGCCCTAACCCTAAACCCTGAACCCTAAACCCTAAACCCTAAACCCTAGACCCCGCTAAACCCTAAACCCTAAACCCCGCTAAACCCTAAACCCTAAACCCTAAACCCTAAACCCTAAACCCTAAACCCTAAACCCTAAACCCTAAACCCTAAACCCTAAACCCTAAACCCTAAACCCTAAACCCTAAACCCAAATCGAACCCAAACCCAGGCAGGCCGCGTGCGCGTGGACACCGATGGCCGGTTCCGTGCGCCAGACGGGCGCTCGCAGGTCACGCAGAGTGTTCGGGGTTTGCGGTTCAGGGTTCGGGGTTTAGGGTTCGGTGTTTACGGTTGAGGTTTGGGTTTTGGGGTCTTGGGGTTTAGGGTTCAGGGTTTGGGGTTTAGCGTCTTATGTAGGGTTTAGGTTTAAGGGTTTGGCTTCGTCTTTGCGAGCCCCAAATCAAAACCCTGCATAAGCACTACACGCCTTTCATTGTCAAGATAACTATTGTATATATCTAGACACAGATACATGTTAAAGAAGTATGCACAAACCCTCATCACACAAGAATGGCCTAGATCCGGTCTTGGGGCGGGAACAGGCCATCCGTTTGCCCCTGAAACTCTAAATCTGAGGGTGTAGGGTTTAGGGTTTAGGGTCTAGAGTCTAGGGTCTAGGGTTTAGGGTTTAGCACGCCTTAAACCTTGAAGAAGCCTAAGGCTCTAAACCTCAAACCCTGAAGAGCGAACCATGAAACCCTCAACCCTAGAGGTTTAGAGGTTCAGAGGTTTAGGGTTTAGGGTTTAGGGTTCAGCGTCCCCCCTAAAGCACAACCCTGTACCCGACTCGGCCTTGTTCAACCAGACGTCCGCTCTAGAGATCTTCAGCCTCCGAAGCCCTACACCCGACACCCCAAAACCAACCTAAACCCTATCCCTAAGGGTCCATGTACCTCATTTTTGTATACTTGGGCCCCAAAATCCTTATATGGCAGGTATTTTGAGGCCCAATTACTCCCTATTTAGGAACATGGACCCTAAACCCTAAAAACCCTAAACCCTAAACCCTAAACCCTAAACCGCTTCCTTGCAAGCAGGTTTTCCATGGCGTCAACGTGGTTCAGAAGAGCTTTCCATGGCATCCCTCCCTCGGATGCTCGGGCGTTTGTTTTGGATTTAGGGTTTAGGGTTTAGAGTTCAATGCGGTTTAACGGCTTTCGGGTTTGGACTTTTGGGCTGGAGCTTTTGGCATCTCCAGCATGCGTCCGAAGGGCAGGGGGGGTGGCTGAGGCGAACTCAACCAAACAGACCTTACGGCCCTGTTTTGGTACTTGGGGGGGTTCGGCTTTAGGGTTTTGAGGTTTTGGTGTTTTGGGGTTTGGGGGTTTAGGGTGCAACCTCAGGCGTCCAAGGCAGAGGGGCTAAGAGTGCGGGAAGGGAGTAGAGTGAGCTTTTTGTTGTTGACGTTTGCTTCCCACTGCCTGGTGCAGCATGCCTGAACCGGGCGTTTGTTTAGGGTTTGGGGTCTAGGGTTTAGGGTTTAGGCCTGAACCCTACAACTGCAAATCAGATCAGGCGAATTTGACGCCAACACCTCTCTGAATGCGGAGGACCGCTATGCCGGCCCTGATTGTACAACAACTTCTAGCCCCGAGCCAGTGTTCAGCCTAACCCCAAGTACATGGACCCTTATGCCCAAGCCCTAAAACCCCTAAAAGCCTGAACTTGAAGAAAACCAAAATGCTGAACCTTGCCGGGCTTTTCCGCACTTAGCGACTGTTTGGGCTGGGGTTCCGGTGGGGTCCGCTCTGGAAGACAAGTCTTCCGGGGGTCGCGCGAGAATGCTTCGTGCACGTGCGCCACAACCCTGACCCCCAAGTCCTAAACCCTAAACCCTAGACCCTAAACCCTAAACCCCAAGCCCTTAGCCCTAAACCCTAAACCCTAAACCCTAAACCCTAAACCCTAACCCTAAACCCTAAACCCTAAAACGCTCACCGGCAGCCCGGGGGGAGCGGCACCTGTGAAATCGCGGAGGGGGTGAACACGTGGGACAGATTCCAACAAACCCTCAAGCCTAAATCCCTAAATCCTCAAAGGTTTAGGGTTTAGGGTTTGGGGTCTAGGGTTTAGGGTTTAGGGTTTAGGGTTTAGGGTTTAGGGTTTAGCGTTTGGTTAGGGTTTAGGGCTTAGGGCTTAGGGTTTAGGTTTAGGGCTTAGGGTTGAGGGTTTAGGGTGTAGGGTTTACTATTTGGGGTCCCTAACACCCTTTCAATACCCTAACGCTGGAGTTTACGACCTCTGCAGATCCCCAACCCGTTGCGGCAGTTTTCGAGCTGCCTTAACCTAAACCCTAAAGCGTAAACGGCCCAAACCCTGAACCCTAAACCCCAAACCCTAAACCCTGAACCCTGAACCCTAAACCCTACCAGTTTTCTGGGCATCGCTGAACTCATCTCCAGTGTTTCCCGGGGCCTTGTAGGCGCCCTTCAAAAAACAGAAAGTCTCTCGAGTTCCCCCTATACCCTAAATCCTAAACCCTAAACCCCAAGCCCTAAACCCCGAAGCCCCCGTAGCAGGACATGGCCAATCTCAAGTCCTGGGGTCTGAACGTGGTCAGGCCTGGTGGCTGCCGGGAGGGTTTAGGGTTTAGGGTTTAGGGTTTAGAGTTTAGGGTTTAGGGGTCCTTTTCAGGACTCCGGGCTTTAGGGTTTAGGGGTTTAGGGCTTAGGGTTTAGAGCTTAGGGTTTAGGGTTTAGGGGTCCTTTTCAGGATTTCGGGGTTTAGGGTTTAGGGGTCCATCGGCGTAGGGTTTAGGGTTTAGGGTTTAGGGTTTAGGGTTTAGGGTTTAGGGTTTGGGGTTTGGGGTTTGGGGTTTAGGGTTTAGCGCTTAGGGTCTGGGGGTTCATGTACCTGCATGTTATTTCGGTGGACCACAAACCCTAACATCCCGAAATCCTGAGAGGTTGGGCATGATGTGGCCTGGCGTGGAGCCAACTCCCGGCAACTACAACCAGACATACCTGGAGGCCTGCGACGTCGTAGGGCTTAGGGTTCCTAGGGTTTAGGGTTCCTAGGGTTTAGGGTTTAGGGTTTAGGGTTCAGGGTTTAGGGTTTAGGGATGTTTAGGGTTTTAGGTTTCGGGTTTAGGGTGTAGGGCTGCGGGTGCAGGGCCTTTGGGGCCTTTGGCGCTTCGTCTGCGGCTGTAAAGATTTAGGGGGCTCCAGCCAGAGATACAGCAACAGCTCAGCAGCTCTTGAAACATTGGGCATAAAACAAAGGCTTTGGGGACTTTAAGGAGGCCCTGAAACTTGGTAGGGCTTGGAGGACGAGGTTGAATGCGGATCTGGGGCTTATCGAGTGACCTTCTATCTTCTCAGGGCTTCGAGGGTGTGGAAAAACCGATGATGATCTATAGGATGACCCCGTAAGTTACGCGTAAGTACTCAAAGTTGTGACATGCGCGTGCATCCCAGCCGTAAACCCATTCTACGTGCTAGAGATATAGGGTTTAGGGTTTAGGGTTTAGGGTTTAGAGTTTAGGGTTTAGGGTTTAGGGTTTAGGGTTTAGGGTTTAGGGTTTAGGGTATCCTCTCCCAAGAGAGGTGCATCTCCCAAAAGGTGCTGTCTATATTCATCATGCAGCTGCAGTCAGACCTTTTACCCGAAGCTTGTACCGTAAGGGTCCATGTACCTATATAGTATGTACCTTAAAAGGGCTCCCACATATTAGGGATGCCCAGTAGTACCCTTATTCCATTTTTTTGGGGGGGGGGGGGGGTTTAGGTTCCCTTATTAAACCCCTTTAAGCAAAATAAAGGCACCCTTTTTTAAGCCTTGGTTACTGGGCAGCCTAAAAGGGCTCCCACATAGTAGCTTTAGAGCCCAAGTATGTACTCAGTTACATGGCCCCGTAGGGTTACATCTACAATTGGTTTCATGCCATGCAGAAGTCAGAGCCTAGGAAGGATAAGGGGGGGCCCTTAAACGGGAACCTTCTTAACCCTCTTCTGGCGCCCTTAAACAGGGACCTTATTCAGGGGGTCTATATCCCCAAGGGGTCCCCGCAATCCTACCCCCTAAGTCAGAAGAGGTCATGCGGAAGTTGGTGGACGACCTCCATAGCCATGGCATTTGGACCATTGTGGACTTCCACCAGGCTAGGGGCGGGGGGGGGGGGGGGGGGGGGGGGGGGCAGGGCTGATTGATCTTTATCCATGGATCCCACACTAAACCCTAAACCCCAAACCCCGAAACCCTAAACACTAAACCTAGGGTTTAGGGTTGCCCTGAACCCTAGGGCTTAAGGTTTGCGATTTAGGCTTCATCCTGCTGGCTTTTTCAGTTTGATAGAAGTGCAAGTTGCACGGTGGGGCGTGGCTGATCGCTGAGGAATTTATGCTAAGGGTCCATGGTTTTAGGGTTTTAGGGTTTTAGGGTTTTAGGGTTTAGGGTTTAGGGTTTAGGGTTTTAGGGTTTTAGGGTTTTAGGGTTTAGGGGTTTAGGGGTTTAGGGTTTAGGGTTTAGGGTTACATGGACCTGTATCTACTGTTTGCTTAAGAACCCCCGAAACATACAAAATGTTCTTCCCTACAAGGGTAGGTAGGGGACTATTTATGTTTTTTGGTTCTTAAACAAATAAAATAGTGGCTTGGGCGCGAAGACTACTATATGAGAACCCCTTTAAGGCCTATGTACTATACAATTACAGGTGCATGGACCCTTAAGAAATTAGCTGTGGCAAGCGTCATCAGGGTTCTGATTCTGGAAAAGTTCTGGAGTCGTAGTGCAGAGACTACTAGGTGAGGCTTGGCTTTGGACCCGAGGTCCCGCACCAAGGGTTTCGGGAGCAGGGTTTGGGGATGCAGCGCATTTGTCGAGCTCTGTCTGATCCCTAAACCCGAAATTCAGGGTTGGAGTTTAGGGTTTTGTCAACCCTAAGCCCTAAACCCCAAACCCCAAACCCCAAACCCTAAACCCTAAACCCTAAACCCTAAACCCTAAACCCTAAACCCTAAACTGAAAGTCAAGGTTTCTCATTGGGCATCTGGGGTGTCCAGGACGCCTTTGCCGAGCGATTCTGCGGCGAGGGCGTTCCGGATTGGCTCCTGGGGCCACGCGGACGAAGAGGGTTTAGGGCTAGGGTTTAGGGTTTAGGGTTCAGGGTTTAGGGTTTAGGTCAGTACGCGTAGGACTTAGGGCTTTGCAAGGTTTTCGTTATAGGGTTCTGGGGCTTCGGGTTATAGGGTTTAGGGTCCTACACCCTTAAGACGCTAAACGCGAATGCCCTAAACCAAGGGCCTCAACCCCTAAGACACCCATTCCCTGAAGCCCTAAAACCTAAAGCCCTGAACCCCGAAACCCTAATTAGCCCAAAACCCCCAAACCCTAAACCCTAAACCCTAAACCCTAAACCCTAAACCCTAAACCCTAAACCCTAAACCCACTAATGGGTAAATATGTACCATTGAACCTCCAAGCGAGGATGCTGGAGCCGATCCGGCGCACCTGCAAAGGCGCCTTCCCAGAGGCAGGGGTTTAGGGTTTAGGGTTTAGGGTTTAGGGTTTAGGGTTTAGGGTTTAGGGTTTAGGGTTTAGGGTTTAGGGTTTAGGGTTTAGGGTTTAGGGTTTAGGGTTTAGAGTGCCAGGATTATGAGGTTTTGGGGATCAGGGCTTTCGGGCCACAGAATTCTCAGTTACTTGGGCTTAGGCTTCGGGCTTAGACCCTAAACCCTAAACTCTAAACCCTAAACCCTAAGCCCTAAGCCCTAAGCCCTAAATCCTACATGCATGGTTTCTAGACCCCAAACCTTTAGCCCTAGACCCTCAACCCCTGAGAGAGTGTAGGGATTCCTAAACCCTAAACCCTAAAACCTATCAAAAAAAACCAAACCATAAACCATAAACCCTAACTCCTAACCCTAAACCCTAAACCCTAGACCCTAGACCCTAGACCCAAAACCCTAAGGGTTTCCAGTGTGTTACGCTCTGGGATCGCCACAGCGGGGGGGCTTTGAGGGTGAACGACGAGGCCGCAAAGATCTTTGGCCAGTGCAAGTCCTTTGAGGAGTACAACTACAGCACCGATCCGAAGACAGGCGCGTAGGGCTTAGGGTTTAGGGTTTAGGGTTTAGGGTTTAGGGTTTAGGGTTTAGGGTTTAGGGTTTAGGGTTTAGGGTTTAGGGTTTAGGGTTTAGGGTTTCGTGTCTAATGTAGTTCCTCTTTGGGGTTAGGTATAGGTGGTTTGGGTATACCACACCAAAAGTTGCTACTATGTCAGGCGCTCCTTTGACTTATAGCTTTGCTGGCGGTACTTGTGACGCCCTAAACCCTAAACCCTAAACCCTAAACCCTAATTAAACCCTAAACCCTAAACCCCAAACAGAGCAAGTTAAGTTAGGGCACTGAATACAACTCTGCTTTTCACCGAGGTTTACTTAGGGGCATTGCTTCCTGAACGTTGAATACGCTCCTGAACCTGCCACAGGGCTTTGAGTTTGGGTTTAGGGTTTGGGGTGTGTAGGGTTTAGGGCTGCAGGCTTATGGGTTTATGGTCCTAGAGGTTATAAAAGTTTAAGCTTTGCAGGGTTTCTTTTGGGTTTAGGGTTTCCTTGTCCCAGAGGCTTCCCGAAGACGGAGGAATGCCTCAGCGTCGGCTTTGACATGTACTCGCGGACACCCGAAGTGGCCGCCCGGTGAAGTTCAGCGGACACCACCTGCTTTGACGGGGTTAAGGGTTTTGGCTGTACATAGTCCAACCAAACCTCAAACGGTTCAGGTTTTGGGTTTAGAGAGTGTTGAGCTCGCTCACCCGGAAACTTTAGTGCCGCCACAAGAGCCAGAACCTGGATTCTGAACAAACCCTAAACCCTAAACCAATTTTTTGGTAGCCTACAACCCTAAACCCCAAATCCCCTTCCCCCCGACCATGCGCCATGCTTCCCCCCGCCCCTGACTCACCCCCCAAACCCTGAGGCCCCCTAAACGCTTGGCCCTCAGGGTTTAGGGGTTGGGGGTTTTAGGGGTTTAGGGTTTGTGGGTTTAGCGTTTTAATTCTAAACCCTTTCATGTGTAGCTTACCCAAGGCCCTTTTTCTGTACGTTGCCCCAAGAACCCTCGAGCTTTCGGGCTCTGAAAATTTCCGGAAGATCATTATCCAGGTTTAGGGTTTAGGGTTTAGGGTTTAGGGTGTAGGGTTTCGTGTGAGTTGGGTTGGAGGGTGGGGAAGTTGTCGGATTGGATTTCTCAGGGCTTCTAGGGTCAGAGCCTGAGGTGCGGAGTTGGGCTCGAGGCACTCAAGCCCCAAACCCTCAACCCTAAACCCTAAACCCTAAACCCTAAACCTGGGCTTAGGGTTTAAGATCCAGGGATTGAGGTATGGCCATGGCGGGGGGGGGGGGGGGTTAAAAAAGAGGGACCAGCCCTGGTCAGAAGGAAAGGAACTTGGCCCCAGCACCCTAAATCCTAAACCCGAAACCCTAAACCCCATTATAGGGTTATCTTAGTATCTGAGTAGATGACCTTTATTTTTTGGGCTATATACAGAAAGTTGTTTTTGGCCAGGTTACTCAGCAGCTAGGTTATAGGGTTGAGGGTTTGTGTAGCCCCTGAGAAGCCTTCCTTTAGAGGGTTCTTAAGGAGGGGTGGTTCATGGGAGGTAGGTACCTAGGGAAGGGAAGCTAAGGGAGCCTTAGGGAGTAGTGGGGAGCCGTAGGGAACCTTGGGTTCTAAACCCTAAGCCCTAAGCCCTAAACCCTAAGCCCTAAACCCTAAACCCTAAACCCTAAGCCCTAAACCCTAAGCCCTAAACCCTAAACCCTAATTCTCGAACTCTGCCGGCAGACGAGCTCCTGGGGCCACTTCTTCGCCCTGGCCACTCGGCCTCTACGCCAGTGGGCTGCTTCGGGTTTCGAGGTTCGTTCCCTAAATAAACCCTAAACCCTAAACCCTAAACCCGCCTTTCGGCTTCCGGGCTTCTGGGTTCGGACTTTGAGGGGGGGGGGGGGGGGAGAAGGGGTTTAGGGCTTAGGGCCTCCCAAGCCACGGAAACCGGGATTCCCAAACTTGGGGTGGAGGACTTTTTTTCCAGCACATTTGGGTTTAGGGTTTTGGGCTTGTGGGGTTTTAGAGTGTTAGGCTTAGGGGTGTTAAACCCTAAACCCTCAACCCTAAACCCTAGACTGTGGTGTCCCCTGGCTCAGAGTCGCCCGAGGACGCTGTTCAGCAGAAGTTTCGCGACTTCTGGTCCGTGGTCGCCAAGGCCTTTGTGGGATCTCCAGGCCAGGCTGGGGCTTGGGGTTTGGTGTTTGGGGTTTAGGGTTTGGGGTTTAGGGTTAGGGGTTTTAGGGTTTAGGGCTTACGGCTAAGGGTGCTTGGGCGTTCAGGGTGTTCTGAGTTTAGGGTCTAGGGTCTTCTGAAATTGTTAGATGCCAGGCCTTAGGGGGTTCAGGGACTGTGGCCCTTGCGCCCTGATGCTCACGATTCCTTCAAGCCTGCGGCACCTCAACCCCCAAGCAACTATGTAGGGTCTGAAGGCCTCAGGCTTTAGGGTTTAGGGCTCTCAAACACATTGTTGGGCATGGGTTGTGCAGTCGCGCAGGAAGCTTGGACAATACGGTGAGCGACAGGCAGCGCAGCTGCCGCTAGATGCCGCGGTGACGCAGCGTGGCGTGGTGGTCTCTCCGAAGTGGCAGCCACGCGATGGTGCAGTGGGTCTTTCGCTCCCGGGACCATGGGAGGCCAAGCTTGATGTGTGGCCAGGCGGCACAGCGTTGTTCTTCAAAGCGCGGGCGCTAACGTGAAATCCCCCCTTGAAGGTAGTAGATAAACTAAATTCAACCTTAAACCTTTAACCCTTTTGAGGCCCTAAGCCCGAAACCCTTCAGGTTTAGGGTGTGTCAAGGGAAGATATAGCCTTTGCGGCGTTTAGGGTTTGGAGCTATAGGCTTTTGCGGAGTTTGAGATTCAAGGCTTTAGGAGTTTGCTTAGTGGGTGTGCTGAGGTTTCGACTAGGGGATAGGGAGGGTGCTGGGGTTTAGGGTTTAGGGTTTAAAGTTTAGGGTTTGGGGTTTAGGGTTCAGGGCTTGAAAGTGTAGGATTTCGGGCTTTGGTGAGTGTTGTGTTGACAGAGGGCTTGCGAAGTTCTCGAGGCTAGTTGAGGATTTACGGTCGAAGATGTTGGCTTTTTAGGGTTGGCATTTTGGTGTAAGGTGTGGGGCTTCAGGGTACTCTAAACCCTAAGCCCTAAACCCTAAGCCGTACCCAACTTTTTCCGCCCAAGATAGAGTCTAGGTTTTGTGGGTTACGTGCGAGCCAGGAGTGTTGGGATACGACCTGGTGAACGCGCCCTGGCTGGATCGGGCTGAGGGTTCATTAACCCTAAACCCGAAACCCTAAGCCCTAAACCCTAAACCCTAAACCCCAAACCCTAAACCCTAAACCGGCCTAAACCCTAAACCCTACACTTGGCATAACAATCAAGGCTCCAAGGCCCGCATCGCCCCTGATCCCGGGTTTTAGTTTCTGTGAGGCCCTCAACACCCTTTGCAGGTTGAGGGTTGATTTTTGGGGGGAACCCTAAACCCTAAACCCTAAACCCCAAACCCTAAACCCTAAACCCTAAACCCCAAACCTCAAACCCGAAACCCGAAATACCCTAAACCCTGAACCCTAACACTGGCCGTGAGGGTCCAGGGCCCACTTAGGGTTTCGAGTTTAGGGTTTTTCGAGTTTCGGGGTCCACGGGCGTAGATTTACAACGGGGTTTAGGGGTTAGGGTTTAGGGTTCAGGGTTATAAGGGATAAGGGTTTAGGGTTTAGGGTTTAGGATTTAGGGTTTAGGGTTTGGGGTGTAGGGTTTTGGGGCCGTAACATGGCATTAGGGCTATTTAGTGCTGCAACTTCAACATGGCCCGCACAAAACTGCTGGAGCAGTAGGAAACCCTAAACCCTAAACCCTAAACCCTAAACCCCAAGCCCTAAGCCCGTAAGCCCTAAACCCTAAACCGCTTCTTCTCTGTAGAGATGTGAGACTGTTGATTATTGGCACCGTGGAGGAACTGCTCACCCAATTCGAGGCCCCCAAATCAGTTTCAGCCCTTGGGGTTTAAGGTTTAGGGTTTAGGGTTTAGGTGTAGGGTTTAGGGTTTAGGGCTTAGGGTTTAGCATGACAACAAGACAGCAACAAAAGTTCAAAAACCGCACTCGGAATCGTATTCGGATCACGTGGCTAGTATGGATTGTACGCCTGACCCTCGACCCGCACAGAAAACCCCAAACTCAAGCCCCCTAAACCCCAAACCCCTGAGCCCCAAAACCCCACCCCCCACCCCAAACCCAAAACCCCTAAACCCAAAACCACAACTTCCACACCCCAAACCCAAAACCACAACCGCCACACTTCAAACCCTACACCCTTAACTCATAGGACCCCGAGCAGACCCTATTTAGGGGTTCTCCCTCATAGACCAACCAGGCGCACCATTTTTCTTCCTAAGATACTCTCGGGCCTATTATCCAAGCCCCAAACCCTGAACCGGAGGGCGCCCCTAAAATCGTAAAAAGCCCCAAGCCCTAAACTCCAAACCCCAAACTCCAAACCCCAAACCCCAGACCCCAAACCCTAGACCCTAAACTTTAAACCCCAAACCCTCAGCCCCAAACCCTAAACCTGCAACCCTCAGACTCATACCCTAGGACCCAGAGTAGGCCCGTATTCCCGTTGTTAGGGATTCGGTTCCCTCTGCAGGCATTTGAATCCAAAATGGGCACCCTGCTTATTCCTAGGTTACTCTTGGGTCGAGTATCCCTAAACCCTAAACCCTAAACCCTAAACCCTAAACCCTAAACCCTAAACCCTAAACCCTAAACCCAGGAGCCCCTCAATGGCGACTACTTCCTGGACCCGAAGCTGCTGGAGCCTGGCGAGGCCAGGCGAGCTCCAAGAATGAAGGGTTCAGGCTAGGGTTTTAGGGTTTAGGGTTTAGGGTTTAGGGTTTAGGGTTTAGGGTTTAGGGTTTAGGGTTTAGGGTTTAGGGTTTAGGGTTTAGGGTTTAGGGTGTCTCCTCAAAGCCCAAGGGTGAACTTTCAACAGACTTATTCTTACTCTTGGTCTAAGGGCTAATGTAGTAGGGTTTGTCGCGTCTAGGGTTTAGGGTTGTTTAGGCTTAGGGTTTAGGGTTTGGGGTTTGGGGTTTGGGGTTTGGGGTTTAGGGTTCAGGGTTTAGGGTTTAGGGTTAGGGCTCTCGGGCTTAACGAAATTGGGGTTTTGGGGCTTCAGGTTTAGGGCTCCAGATTTAGGGATTTTAGGTTTAGGGTTTAGAGCTGGTGTTTTTGGGTTTAGGGTTTAGGGCTGAGGGTTTTTGGTCTTTATAAGGTTTCGGCTTCCAGTGTTTAAGATGTGCTCAAGATCGACAGGGCTAGGTACTGTGCCGGGCTTCCTAGGGCCCTTGCACTGAAGGCCATAGAACCCTCAACCCCGAAGCCCCAACCCCCCCACAAAGCCCGACCCCAGAACCTGCGGATCCTGTCCACCCCCAAATCCCCTACGTATTTGTCCAGGTAACCCTAAACCCTAAACCCTGAACCCTGAGCCCTAAACCCTAAACCCTAAACCCTAAACCCTAAACCCTAAACCCTAAACCCTAAACCCTAAACCCTAAACCCTAAACCCTAAACCCTAAACCCTAAACCCTAAACCCTAAACCCTAAACTCTAACTTGCTTAAGATCCCCAACGTTGATCCTCTTGCTAAACTCTCAACCCTAATTAAGCCCTAAACCCGAATCCCTAAACCCTAAACCCTAAACCCCATAAGCCACCACTTCCCATGGGCCCATGGATACTCGAACCAGGCGGACCGGCGTTTGCTGGAGCCCATGTACGTCCCGCTCCCGGAGTGGGTTCTTCAGATTTTGGGGTTTGGGCTTAGGGGTTATAGGGTTTATAGGGTTTATAGGGTTTATAGGGTTTATAGGGTTTATAGGGTTTATAGGGTTTATAGGGTTTATAGGGTTTGTAGGGTTTATAGGGTTTATAGGGTTTATAGGGTTTATAGTGTTTATAGTGTTTAGGGTTTAGGGCTACCTGGACAAATAAGTAGGCAACCTTTAACGTGTTCTCATTGAAAGGACCTTTTTGGCCCGGGGTGCTCCAGCAACTAGGTGAGGGTTGTTTGTCTAGGGCTAGAGCCACGTTAAGGCTGCACAGGACTTTGGGGCGGAATATAGCACGAATTGCAGTACTTGAAGGTTCATGGTACTCATAACCCCAATTATGACTGCACTTATAAGCCCCCTAAGTCCTCTAAGTAGGTTATAAGTGTACTTATTATTGGGGTTGTAAGTGCCCATGAACCTCTAAGTAAGGGTAAAGCTCTACAAGGCGCGGAGGATGCTCCCCCAGCCCTTTTTGGGCCGTCTGGGCTCTCTAATCGTATGCGGCATCTCGCCAACCAAAAAAGAGATCTACCCCCTAACACCCCCCGCAAACATGCGAAAACCCAGACCTACAACCCCAAACCCTTCACCCTAAACCCTAAACCCCAAACCCTTCACCTTTCCGTTTTGCGAAATTTTCAGCAGATCGTCGTCGTCCGTGGCGCTTCAAGGGGTCGGAATACTTACTAATACTGTTCCCTCATGGGCCCTACACATTTGTACCATAATACCCCCCAAAACCCGCTTCATATTCTTAAGGCTATAAACCCGCCCTTATCCCTAATTAAGCCCTGGGCCCTACACCCTGAACCCGCAACCCTATTCTAAATCTCAAGGCCCCTATATGAAGCAGGGTTTATATTTCTGTTTTTGGTGAGTGTATAGAAGGTTCCTTTTTAATATTGGTGAGTGTATATACCTGGTGTCCTTCTGGGGGTACAAGAAATATATACCCTACTCCATATCACTTCAGGTCAGCCTGGGTAAAGTGATCCGTGAAGCTGATCCTGAGGCATGGGGCGCCTCTGGGTTTAGGGTTTAGGGTTTACGGTTTAGGGTTTAGGGTTTTGGGTTTAGGGTTTAGGGTTTGGGGTTTAGAGTTTAGTGTTCATATAGGGTTTGGGGGTTTAGGGTTTAGGGTTTAGTGTTTACATAGGGTTTGGGGTTAGGGTTTGGGGTCTGTAGAGTGCAGGGTGCAGGGTGTCTGGGGCTTCGAGTGTAGGATGCAGGGTTAAAGACTTTCAGGGGTTCTGAGTATATGGTTCAGGGCATAGGGGTTTAGAATTCCAATGGCCCTCAACCCGAAATCTTGAACCCGCCGGCTTTGGCTATTCGAGGGTGGGTTACACCCTAAACCCTGAACCCTGAACCCTAAACCCTAAACCCTAAACCCTAAACCCTAAACCCTAAACCCTAAATTTAAGAGCCTCCGGCTCAAGCCGCCGACCCCGCTGGAGCATAGTTGAAAGGTTTAAACGCGCTCGTCAGCTCAAAGGATCCAAAAGTTGATTTGCTTGAGCCTCTGTGAAACGTTGGGGGGGGGGGGAGTAGCACCAGGACCCAAACAGGAGCTGAAGCCAGCTTGAAGGGCAGGGCAGCCCCACCAATTGTTGGGGTAGGGGGGTGGGGGGGGGTGGGGGGGGGGGGGGGGGGGGGGGTGGGGGGGGGGGTGGGGGGAGGGGGGGGTAGGGAGGGTGTTGGGTGGTTTTTTTGCCGAAGGGCCCCTATGGGCACACAGGAAGAGGTATGGCCATCTGGACGAGGAGTGAATGCTAACGCTATTGGCTATGAGCGAAAACAAGAAACCACAGAACGATGGACTGAGAAGTGGCTTCATTAACGTTGGGACCTTCTTAAACTATCCTAAAGCCTAGTCCCTAAAACCTTCATAATCTTATTTTGACAGAAACTAGTTAGGATGACCATTTTCAGGTTTACAGGTTTACGGTTGGAGCTTGCCAACCATGGCCTGAGATGCATGGGTCTTATGATGGCATAGAATAGGGCTTAGGGTTTAGGGCTTAGGGTCCAGGGTTGTGCGGAAGTGGGAATTTTAGTGCTAATTTCCCCGCTCCCCGCATGTTCCCCTGTTCGGCATGTTTTACGGACCCCGATTCCTGTGTGAAACCGCCTATGGTCCGTGAGTTTATGCGGTGTGGGTGGCCTGGCCCTCCATGGAAAAGCTGCCCGGGTACCCCCCCCTACCCCCCCCCCTCCCACCCCCCCCCCCCCCCCCCCCCCCCCCCCCCCCCCCCCCCCCCCCCCCCCCCCCCCCCCCCGCGTTTTGAGGGGTAAGGAGGGAAAGAGGGAGGTTTTCACCTCCTTTTCCCATCCAACACGCCGCCAGGGTCGGCGGACCCTAAACCCTAAACCCTAAACCCTAAACCCTAAACCCTAAACCCTAAACCCTAAACCCTAAACCCTAAACCCTAAACCCTAAACCCTAAACCCTAAACCCTAAAGCTGAAGCATTGTGGGGAATTGGTGGTCCTGTGATGTGCGCCTCTCAGTGCTGCAAATACCCTCTGGGTTTGGGGATTAGGGTTGAGGTTTTGAGGGTTTAGGGCTGAGGGTTTGGGGTTTGGGGTTTGTATTGGGTCTAGGGTTTAGGGTAGTCAAACCCTGCACCCTAAACCCCAATGAAACCTCACTGGTTCGGGGGGGGGGGGGGGGGGGGGGGGGGGGGGGGGGGGGGGGGGGGGGGAAAAAATTATTAAAAGGGGGTTCCTGGGGTCTGGGCTGTTGTGTGTTGTCGTGTCTGCTTCGTTTTTTGTTTTTAATCACTGTCTCCCACTTGTTCTTAACCCTTGTCGCCTCCTTCGTTTCTTATTTTCCTCGTCTGGGGTCTGTTTCATTCGTTGGGTCTCTGCTTCGTTTTCTTAAAAGCGTGTCTCATTCGTTTTCTCGCTTCTCTTCGTCAATCTTGGCCCCTCCTTCGTTTTTCTCTCACTCCCCAGGATCCCACCCCCTCATTTAAGTATTTGTCGCTCCTCTCTCGTTTTCACTTTTCCCCCCTCTTACTTCCCCAACACTTTTTGACTTTTCCCTCTCTTTCGTTTTGTCTTGGTTTGTCTCTAAGCTTAGCTGGGCTTTAGTTAGGCGGTTCGTAGAAACGGCTAACATAAAGCCATGATTGTAGAGCTTCGGGTTAGCCATTGGGTTAAATTTTGTGCTTTACTGGGGCGTAGTGGGTGGTTCAACGATAATATTATATTTAGTAATAATATTATGGTTGTTTGTTGTGTATCGCTTCCATTTTCTCTATATGTTTCTTACTATTGATGTGTCTCTTTATATCATATTGTTTAATGTCACGATTACAAATTGAACAGAAAGTTATTCGTTCTCGTTTGTCTTTTGCTTTGATTAATATGTCATCTTTATTCTCATTGTAATATTCTTTATACTTCTGACTTAACTCAGGTTTGTGTTTTTGTCTGTATCTTTGTTTAGCATCTATACAAATATTACAGAGTTTTCTATACCCTTCAAAATATTCATTTATCCTAAATATTTTACATTTTGAACATTGTCTTTTGTTCTGTTCTTCCATAATGATTAATGCCATCTTTTCTTTAAATGTAAAATGGGGCTTACACTTCCTCAATCCATTTCATTTAAATCATCATTTTTGTATTTGTTATTGGTTTTAAACAAATATTCGTTCCTTTCTTCTTCGTCCATCTCTAACATAATGTTAACATTTCTTGACTTTCTTATTTTCTTAGGGTATTTTATATATAGTGCTTCCATCTGTTTAAAAAGCTTATCCTTCTTTGTTTGGTTTTTCTCCTTATTAAATTGGTCATTTAACTCTTTGAATTCAGAATTGAATTTATGCTCGTTGCTTTTCAAGTGTCTATGAAAATATGGGCGCCAATACAAACCCTGTCCGTATATGCTACAAATTTCACACTCAATCCATCTACATAGGGGCTCTTTCTTCATTTTCTCACTCAATATATTATATAGTTTTTTCTTTAAGTGCATTTACTCATCAATTAATAAAATTTCGTGTCTGTTGTATTTTTTACTCAATCCATCCAATATATAGTGTTTGTTTAGTTGTCCATCTCTGCCTACTTCCTTAACCTCATAAGTTCTCTCACTCCACTGGTTCCTACTTTCTTTACGACTTGTATAGTTGCCCTTTCCCTTTACAAATATTTTAACTTTATCCCCGGCCTCTACCTTAGGATACTTCCGTAAATATTTCTCTTTCAATACAGAGTTAGATTTTACTGTAAGATGGTTGTCGTCCTTGTGCGCTTCATTTGGTGTCATCCCAGTCGTTGAATGTTTCATTGTTTTATTATACTTATCTAATGCGGGCTTCAATAATATTGTCCAAGCTCCTTTAGTAACTAGTGCTCTGTCTGTAATCATTTTCTTAATAGTGCGAATCGCTCGTTCCGCTACATTTGCATGTGTTAAACTAATGACGTGCTCAATACCTTCCCCTTTCAAAAAATCCTGAAACTTTTTATAATTAAATGCCCCGTCATCATCTGAATAAATACTGTTAGGATAACCCATAACTTTGAAACACTCAATAAAAGCATCATACACCGTCTCACCGTCTCTGTTCTCCATAGGAACTATATGCATCTTCTTGCTAAAATTGTCAATGCATAATAAAGCGTATCTTTTATACTCCTCCTTGAAGGTGTCAGTGTCTTTCATCAAGCTTACCATATCCATAATATCAACGCTAAAAACAGCCCTAGCATAAGGCGGGGAATAGCTATTATAATTCTTGTAGTTTCTTCTCTGATTGATGCTTTGCTTCTTCACCCAATCCTTAACATACTGCAAAGTGACACCCGCCCCATCTTTATTAGCTTCCTCATACAAACTTCTAACAGATCCATAACCGCGCTCAAGATCATAATATATTTTCTCCAATATCTCATTAGCACTCATAATTAATAATAATTAGATAATTAATTATTATTAACCATGTAAAACCTTCATAATGATTTTATCCTCTATCTCCTTTTGTTTTCTATCTTCATAAACTCTTTTACACCTTTCACTGTTCTGATGCTTAGCTTTATTGCTAGTGCTACTTATGGTTTTACCACACCTTTCACACTCAAAACATTTATTATTTTTCTTAAAATATTCATTAAAATAACCTTCATTTTTATTCTTTTCATTCAACCTATCATTATAGACTTTCTTTTTCTGTTTCTTGATGATCTCCGAACTGTCGCTATCAGTTGTAGAAACATCATCACTCTCAAACGAGTTCCAAAGCAGGTCAAACAAATCGTCGTTTATTGTGGTTTTAATTCCATCATTGCCAACAAAGTAGTTAGTAGCCATTTATTTTATAATATGAATATTTCTTTAAATTGCGTTAGCTATTAAAGAAATATCTCATTCGTTTTCAAGCTAATCTTTCATAAACGGTCTCTCTATAAAGTTTCTGTAGTTGTCTCAAAGCGTTCTTTTTCTCAATTGGGTTACCCTTAGCAGATACCCATTGATTGTATAAACTTCTGTAGTTTCTATATGTGGTTTTTGAAATTGCATCTTTATTACCTGCATCTTCAAAGGTCTCTCTCAGTTTTTGTATTCCAATTTTACTAGGCATTATCAAAGGTTGTAGGTTCTGTTCAGACCTAGGCGAAAAAGCATCTGCTCTAGCACTCTCTTTTAAATGCGTTTTTCTTGTCACCCTTCTTCTTGGCGGGGCTGGTCGTTCTTCTTCTGGTGGTGGCGGGGCGCGACCGCTTGAACTTGATGACCCACCTTGTTGAAAATTAGGTCTGGGTCTTGCTTTTGGGCGAAGTCTTGATGCAGAAGTTCCTACCTCTTGGAATCTTGCTTGTTCTGCCGGTGTGGGTTCGGGTTCTGGCGGTGAAGGTAACGCCAAAGGTTGTTGCGCTGGTGCAGGTAATGCTAACGGTTGTTGTGTCGGTCCAACATTTGGCTGATGCGGTTGAAGTATTAATGTCGGTCTTAACACTTGTGGATCAATCGGTTGTAGGTTTGGTAACGGCATTC